GTTTTCTGCTGTTCAATTACTTGCAAAACAATTAGCATGGGAAATAATGACCATCGTATTGTTAGTTACCATTGTTAGACCGCACCATCTTCTGTCACAATTAACGCTTCCTTGTTTGATTCTATAAATTCCAATTTTTTTTTTTTTTTAATTATAATCCGTATGCGCCGCCTTCTCTCGTTTCCTTTTTCACTTTCTTCGGAATGGAAACTTAAAGAATTGTTTCGGTTCCAATTTTGCCACTACACATGTTCCGCAACAGATCAGGGAAGCCAACCTTCTTTTTTTTCACTATTTTCACTTCTTTCATTAGTTTCATTAGTTTCATTAGTTCCAATTCCTGTATTTCCTGCATTTCCTGCATTAGTTCGTTCCATCTTGCTTAACTGAACACAGCCCTAGCCATAAGAGAAGAGAATTGGAACGGACGAAAACTCCGTCCGTCCATTGGTCAGCATGAACGCGCATCCTTATATTTGCGGCACAAAAATGGAGAGCGTTGCGCTACGGCCTGTTCTACAATACAATTGTAAGCTGAAAGTCGTGAGAAATCGATCAATCACAGACAAATCACAGAAAAATAATCGATTGTGATTGTGTGACCGGATTTCCCTAAATCCTAGTCCCTAGTACGTAAATTATTTTTAGATTTTGTCCTACGGTCGCCAGTCGGTTTATCCTTATAGCCGACAAGGTATTAATATATATCATTGTTCGCTCAAGCGAAATTCTGTACTCACGATTGGATTTCTTCCCTCAATGGAAATCCTGGATATTAATAGTTATTCCCGCCGCTTGCCCGTCACTCGCACTGGATTAATAAGGATTTACAGGATATTCCCGATCTCGCGGGCCTTTTATCATACCTGTCCTCCCTTTCGAATCCGGAGCCCCGGGACTTACCTTTCGGCGATTGGTTCCTACCGTATCCGTTTCTATATTAACCAATGGTGGTTGAGCCCTTCGCCTGAAACCGCTTCTCGGCTGACCTCTGGTTGGCGCCCTGTTTCGTTCCGTCTAGATCCGGCTGACGCTCCGCCAATCGTCTTCGTTGACGATCCGTTCGTGGCCAATCAGCAGTGGACTCTAGGATATGAGCGGTTCGCCTTATGAGGTGCCGTTGTGTATTCAAGGAGACACTCCACCAAGGGTTTTAAATTAACGCAACAACTTTATTCTTTCAGAATAACTAATGAATTAAATTTTATTTTATCTCTTCACTATATACATCACCACAAACGCGCTATTTAGTCACACAATCAATTAAACTTTCCTTTTCTCGCGGAATTTACAATATTGGTGCGTTTTCTCTATTACGCGGATGATTTTCGTTACGTATCGCCGCAGCCGATTTTTTCGCGTTATCCACGAGTTTTCCCCGATCTTATCGCTCGACTGATCTTTTCCTGACGATCTCTCCTGTCTCGTTTCGCTCCCTTATATTGCGCCTTCCCCCTCTCGCCTAGACCTTCTCGAAGCTTCGGGGGTATGTTTTATTAACTTATAATTATTAAAAAATTTTTTTTCTCGCTTCTGTTGTCTAATGCCTAGCTTTATTCCTTTCTTCTATTTTTTGTTCTTAATCTTCCTTTTTTCTTTTTTTTCTATTGCCCCGAACATTCGAGAAGTTTCTCTTCAGTCTTCTCTTACTTCCTTCATTAATCCTGTTCTAATTTTCCTATTTATTTCTCGTTACGTGCCTTTGTGTTTTCTTTTGCTTAATTTCTTTTGTTCACTGAAATTTTAATAACTATAATAAAACAATGATGATAATAATACGAGAAAACGCATTAAAGCAAGCCTTTCGGCTTCTTCTTATCTAACCTTCTAATTATGCTATCTAATAACAGACATGGTATTAATAATAACTTTTTTATTCATTTCCCATCACCATAATAATAATATATACATTTACATCCTAAATTCTACTTTGTTTCTTAGTTTCTTTTCTAATTAATGTTTAAATTTCGCGGCCTTCCCAATACGGGTCGCTCGCGCCGATAGTGCTGCCCTCTGAATCATCATCTGGGTGCTGCGCGCCCTCCTGCGCCATTTCCATCAGCCTTTCCAGCTGCACCATGGCGTCGTCTGCTTCTGCTTCTAGCGCCTGCGCCGCGTCTCTCGCATACCGCTCGCTCTCTTGGCGGTCCTCGCCCAATAGGAATTGTTCGTGCGCCTGCAGTTCTGCCGTCGGTTGCAATTGGTCGTCACAATTGCTTACGACTGTATTGTGGAACAGGCCTATTGGGTGCTTTCCAGCTACGTGTGTACACAAGCGACACTGGACGACACTGGCTGCGTTCGTTTTTTTACTGGCAGTACTGAAAATCTATAGATTCGTGTCACGTATACTATAGATTTTTCAGTACTGCCAGTTAACAACCGAACAGGGCCACTGTGCAGTGTCCACTGGTGTGAGTGAGACTAATCGCTCTTTCTCACACTAATGGGCACTGTGTTACACAAGTGTCGCCTGAAAGCACCTTTCCTTTTAACATTCGCGAGACAGACTTCGAGTTGTAAGTATCGAACGATCTAAAACGCTGATAACTTCGCGTCAGTTAGTTTGGCGCGCGCGTCGCGAAAAGTAGTTCGTCGTCGGGTTGTGTTTCTCGCGCCGGGTGGGTGAGATCCGCGCTCAGCGACGAAAACGTTTCTGATCTATCATTTCCGTGACAAAAAACTTAACCGAAGAGTAAATTGAGAATGAGCCCGCTCAACAGGGGATCTTTCATGGAGTATCCGAATCACCGTCCCCGAGTACCACCGACCGGCGTGCGTCCGCTTCCGCCGCCCCGATTCGGCAGCAGATTTATGCCGCCGCCGAGGTTCGCACCAGGTGGTTTGCGACCGCCACCGCCGAGACCCGATCACGGCGTGTCTCGGCCGAACGGCATGCTGCCGCCCTTGTTTTCCGCCGGTCCCAGACCACGCTGCATGCCGATTATGCCACCGGTAGTCCCACGCGGTTCTGGAGTACCGCGCGGATTACCAATGAGACCGTGGCCGCGGAGAATGCTGCCGCAGCCGCAGCAACAACACCAGATACCACCAAGATACAGGTTCAACGCAGGCAACGGCACTGTCAAGGGCAAGTCAATGAGCGCCACAAAAAAAGTTACCAAACAGGAAGTACGTATCCACGAATTCGTACGTGACGCTGTTTATTAAGGCTCTTTGAAAAGCTTGTTTTTACTCTTGAACTCATCGCACTTTGACCCTGCGATAGTTTTTTCTGATAAAAATTCTTTAATTTGATTTGCAAATTATGTCGCTAGACGACAAAGAGATTTCTAAAGTGTTTTTTATTCTAAGAAAAAATATCTTTAATATTATATATCTTCTAAACATTTATATATTGTCTCGTGAGACAACTTTTTTAACAAATGATCTAGGATCTGGAGAGATAATATCACATCATTCTGTTGTTGTTTTATAAAATATAAAACTAAATATTTTATAAAATATAAAATTATCTTAACCAACAGATTCTTCTTGGCCTTTATTTTATGTTATTTATATCTTAGCGTCCAAATTTTTTTATAGTAAAATTTATAATTTTTCTCATATGTTATTGTCTAAATATTGAAACCTCATTGGAAAACTCTAACGTTCTTTAGGAAATTGAATTAAAAAAGCCATGGATGACTGATGAAATTCGTAACGAGATTCAAAAGAAAAATAAATTGTATGTTAGAGCAAAAAAGAGCAAAAGTGCTACAGAGTGGGACGAGTTTAAGGATTTACGAAATAAAGTAACACGGATGATAAGAGATGCAAAAAATGAGTTTCTTTCAAAACATCCTGAACAGGTATTTTTTGTCTCTTTATATCTGTTAAAAGTTTCTGTATTTGCTCTTGTGATATTCTTGATTTTTTTTTTTGTTATTGCGGTGCATTTTGGTAAAAGTATATTTTAGTACATACGAGTCTATTGTAGAATATTAGTAATATTTCAAATTTTCTAACTTATAAGTTTCTGCTGCTATGCTTGATGATATATGTTCTTGATTTTGTTTTCCTTCATTTCTCATGTGTATCTAAATAAATTCCATAAATCTTATTTTTATTATCACAACATACGTAATATACCTTAGATGAATATGTACAGGGGCGATTTTGAAGTAAATTTAGATTTTACTTAGGATATACAACATATAGAGGGGGGTATAGATGATATGTTGTCAACAAACGTGAGGTTTTCGCGATACATCACCACTTCACTATGCGACGCCTAAGTTACGCCTAGAAGTAGGCAGCTTTAAGATATCAAATGTTTGAAAAAATAAAGCATTTGATTGTACTCGATTTGTTCCTGTTTACACCGCTCTGGATTAAAAATTTATACCGGGAGGAGACAAAAACAAATTGCCAGTACTTTATAATATTGAATAATTAAAAAAAAATGTATGTGATCTTATACACATATCTGTATCTTTTTCCAAATTTCGTTCGTATCCTTACGGGTTTGCACAAAATAACAAATTTGTTTTTAATTCGCACTATCTGTGTAGTAACTCAGCTAATTTAATAAGATATCAGAAATCTGAAAACGAATGCTGTTTCAGAATCGTTTGCACTTGTTTGTGCTGTTTCACAAATCGTTTGTGAATTCACAATGGGTTGCCTACCTCCCAGGCGCTTTCAATTTGATATACATATATATATATATATATATGTGCAAACACGTGTAGTAGTCGTTGTGTGATAAAAATCCAGCTTGTTCCATTAAGTGTTAATGGATTACTTTAATTTTACAGGGCGGTCAGAAAACAGATAACAATGTTGAATCCGTGGGTGTTCAGAAAGTTGAGAATACAACACAAAGTGATCAAAAGGAGCAAATAGAGGAGACACTGCCTTCCAGCGAACAAGCACAGTCGCTCACAGGCTACTCCTCCTAAAAAAAGAATTAAAATTACGTAATACGACATTCTGTTTTCAAACTTCAGAACGATTTAATCCTTAGTTTTGATAATATCTGGTAAATCTTATAAGCATTATTGTTACAAGTTTCATCTAAATCTTTAATATGAAAACGATTGAATACGATTTTTCATTTCTTTCTTTTTGTTTTTCATTATTTCGGGAACAATATATTCATGTGATATATTTTGTATTATTTAATCTGACTTATATTAACATGTGTGTATATAAGTGTATGCTATTTTACAATTTATATTTAAGATTATTTTGAGAAAATAGCATTTGTGTCATCTAAAATGATAGTATCTAAAAGTTAAAATAATTCATATAAGAATTAAGCAACAATTTGTTTAAAGTCTTTTACATATATATATATATATATATATATATATATATATATATATATATATATATATATATATATATATACATATTAATATACATACCTATATATGTATGTAAAGTCTTTTACGTCATGTGTGTGTGTATATATATATATGTATAATAATATATATATATATTATACATATATTATATATATATAATAATATATTATATGTATGTATATATATATATGTATGTGTATATATATATATAATATATGTATAATATATATATATATTATTATACATACTTATAAAAATATCTAATACAGTTGAATACATACATCATATGATACGATATAGATAGATAACTATAACTTCTGACCGTCTCTTGTGAATATAATTTTCTTCAAAGCATTTTCTTTATAATTTACGGTCAGTATACAGTGCCGCAAGCTATAAAACGCTTAAAATATACAAATAACAAGCGATATTGCAGTGATGATAAAAATAGACATAAAATTTTGTTGATAATACATTTGTACAAAGACGATCTATAGTAGCTTGTGGTTCTGTTCGACTAATATTATGACTTTTATCAATGTTTATGATCTAGATCTGTCATATTTAACGTATTCTTATTTACTTTATGAATGACTTCCAAAAGTCGTAGAACAACATCAAAAAGAAAGGCAAAAATTTGTAATTTAGAATTTAATGTAAAAATAAATCATATTTCTATAAATTCTAATTCTGGTGTTATCATCATTTTTAACCACTGAAAAGAAAGTTGGCCTCACGTGACAACAAAAACAATCGTTCTGAACTATGAAAATAATATTTTGTTTTTTTCAATCAAGTAATTGTTTAAATCATTTAATTAAAATGAAAACTTGTACACATAAGTCATGTTAATGTACAGAATAAAATATAAAAAATATGTGCATATACATATTATCATTTGCAATATGGAAAAAAATATATATTATGATGATATTTGTAGAGATAATATTTTATAATTGTGTAATTTATATAAAATTTCTCGACAAAGTTCTGATTAACGCATTCTGTGTCATACAAGCTGCATAAGTGTGTGTGTGTGTGTGTTAGTCTAGTGCTACTGTATACGCTTAGTAAAGATGATTAATTAACGCTTCAATAAAATTATATACATGCTCGAATTTTTATCCAAATAATAAAAAAATGAGCAATGCTGAAAGAAGATCTGAACTTTTCATATATAAGTAAAGAAATTAAAAAATTAAATTTCTGAATACCCCGGGCTTTAAATGTTTGCATAATAATTATGTATATTATTAAAAAGCAGATAGCTCCGTAACATAGATAGACAGTGTGTATAAATACATATATCGAGATCTAACTTTTATATACATTTATTGATATATTTATGGACAGACAAATTTGTATGATTACCTTATCTGTCTTTCTTTCTCTTTCTCTTTCTCTTTCGTGTAGGATGTTAAAACAAAATTTAAGTCACGGTTTCTAGGCTCATCTGTATCCGAATGACGAAGAGCCGTACGATCAAAGAGACGAAAATTGCGTTAGTTCCGACGACGATGACAAGTCTTACTATTGCGAGGTATGCGACAGGGATTTTCCATCCGAAAATCTTTTTACCAAACATAAAAATGAGCACGCAGTTTGTGACATTGATGGATGTACGTTTTCGGCACATCCGTTACTCGTTGAGAAACATATTAATATGCAACATCGTAGTGGTTTATACGAGAGGATGAAAAATCTATCAACGCCAGAAGGTGTAAAAAACTGGATAGCGGAGCGAAAAAAGTAAGTTATTCTGGGCTGTATTGCAATGATTCATATAATTTTTTCTTTTTAAATTACCGCATTGTGAAAATGAAGATATGTAAACTTTTTGTGTCTTCCGAACGTTAAAACAGAAAGTATCCTACTGAAGCTAACAAGAAATTGCGCGAAGCAGAAGAGCTCGAAAAGTTGCAAAGAGGAGAAATAATTAAGCAGTCTTCTAATGTACAAACAAAAAGAACACCGTCGATAAATACGCGCGAGAAAAAACGCAGACCTCGTAAACGACGTGTACGCGAAGTAATTAACAATTACGCATCTACGGACGAAGTATATAGAGGTTTACGCCCATTTCGTGGAACAAGTAAGTGACAAAAATATATGTGATTACACGCAACACTAATTCTTTCAGTATTTTAACGTGTAGAAAAATATTCACAAAAAAAAACCAACTTAGAATTTGAATTTACGTATTAAATTAGTTGAAACTTCCAAATTTTATTTTGATTGTCTTTGTTGCACGCAAATTATTATATAAAATTGATTTCTTATGTTATAATCGTCGTACTTCAGACATTCTGGACGAAGAAGAAAAAGAAGAAGATAGTGGAGTTTGTTTAGAAGAACAAATAAAACAAACACATATATCTGAAACGATTAGTGGCAATATTTCGGATGAAGATGATATACCGCAACCATCTACAAAAGAAGAACACATTAATTTATCTACTTCGTCCGTATTACCTTCTTTAGTAGCGGATTATGGAACGGATGATGATGGTATAAACTGTTGTCTTTATTATTGTATATCATCTTTTTTAAAAAGAATATTAAAGTTTTAAATCTTTCAGATGAATGTCCAGAAGAAGTACCAATTAAAAAAACAAAAATGCAAGACAACCAGGATAATAAAGTAATGGAAAATACAGATAATGAAAAAACTTCTAAAGGAGTGGAGTTTTGCACGGATAATAAATCGAACGAAAGAGAGAATCACAATATTGTCCGTGAGCGTCACGATAAACAAAAACGTGAAACGGAACGAATACAAGTCGCGCAACAGAAGAAAGAAAAACTGTTGAACAGATATCATAATCGATTGTTGGAAAAACTGCTTGCACGTGACATACAACATGAAAGAAATTTAATTTGCCAATGCGTGAAATATATCATAGATAACAATTTTTTTGATTCCAATAATGATCAAAATAATGTACCTAAACAAAATCTTGTAATAACTGCGTGATAATGTTTTTTTAGTAGCCGCACACATATGCACAAATGTAATATTTTTAATCTACATACCTGCACTGTAAAATAGAACAAGTAGTTGCAAAAAGAAAGACTGAAATATATTTTTTTAAATAGTTGTATTTCAATAAGTAAATACCTTGATATAACTTTGTACCACAATAAAAAAATAAGTTAAATAATAAGTTATTTGTTATAAATTAATAAAGGAAAGTTTAAGTGTTTTATCATCATGTTTACTGTTGTGTTTTTATTTTACTCAGATATTATACATAAACTGTATGTAAGTCGTTACATTTCAAAATCTACATGTAATTATGTAAAAAATACGTCATTTATAATTTCGAAGAATGCCGTTTCTTCTTTTTTGTTTGTTTTTTTTCTTCCTCTATGCTCTCATTTCCCAGTGATCTCTTTTCGCCAGTCTTTACAGAAATAAGGCTCTTGCTGTGTTTGCCAGATAGCACAGTTGTCCATTCGGCTTCCGATCCTTTGATAACATACTGCTCTAAATTTTCCTTTTTTAATTTTTCCAATTCCGCTTTTTGTTTTACTTTCAATTCCTGTGTATGCGATATCAGATTAATATTTTAACGATACAACAATTTCTCAAAAATAAATTTGTGTGAAATACCTTAGCTGCGCTTTCTAATTCTTCCTGTAGACTTTGTCCACCTAAAGGATTTACTTTCACTTCTTCGTTGACGGATCCTTTCGTCAATATAGTACTCTCAACGTATTGCTCCGCGACACCGTTGAAATATTGAACTGATTTGCGTATTATACGATTAAATAAAGCAAGTAACTGTGAGGATGGTAGATTCAATTCTTCCGATAATTTATCAACGGTTTTATGTTGCAATCCCAAACCAAGTAGAATCGCCTAGGAATTTTTATGTATTGTTACAGTAATTGAAAGAAATTGAACTATTTATGTATAATAAATTATATCTTACCAACTGTGCTGCTGAGAAATGAGTGTCTGCCATCATATTTAGGAAGTACAGACGCGCTAAAGATGGCAATAAGTCCATAATTAAATGATAATCCGCCATGTTATTACTGTACATCTGTAAACGCTTTAGATCGTACGACGTAAAATAAACATCTAATGTTTCTTTACTCAGTACTAAAACAAAATTGCTTGCATTACAGATCTTCTGCACAGTTCTCATATCTAATATCATAATAATAACAATGATGATAATACAGTCGAACCTTGATAACTCGAATCTCAAGGGAAAAGGTAAAATCTTCGAGTTGTAGAGGTTTCGATTTATCGAAGTTTTTTTTCCTTTCCGCGAAGCGGAAGGGAATGAAAAAATTTCCGTCTAATAGAGGTTTTCGAGTTATAGAGGTTTGACTGTAACAAAAATAAAAGTAACAATAAATTAAAAACATACGGCATTTACACTTACTTATAGGTTTTAAAGATATTGTTTTGTTGACTAATATACTTAACGCAAGCGACACCGGGTACGTATTAAACGAATAAGAGAGTAAATTTATAAATCGTCGACGGAAATCACTCCAATAAGCCTGCAGCCACTTATTGTTATCTTGTTCCGCATTAAGTTTGCAAAGCATTATACAAGAATGTTCACCTGTGATATCATTTGATGTCTGCCTAAAAGATCACACACGTTCAACAGCACTGAATTTTTCATATCAACTTTTCTTATTCGTACCTCAAATATACAAATAAAAAAATGATTTGTACCTCAAATATACAGGTACAAAATTGGCTCGCTTCCAAAACTTCAACAATTGCTCGGTAATTCCGAAAGATACACCGATGTAATCCAAATGTTCTGGAAGCCTTTCGTTCAATTTCAGGAGAAGTGGTGGTAACGAACTGCGAGGTTCTATACGTATGTAGTTTTATATGTAAGTTTAACAAATTTAATTTTTTTTTCGATAAAAAAAATGTGATAGATACGAGAAAAAATTACCGATAGTTTCTTCTAATAAACTAACTGCTTCATCGGGAACATTTGTTATTTCCGTCACTGGTTCTTGCGCATCACCTTCATTGAGATTAGGTATTTTCATTTCGTAATACTGCTTCAACAGTTGCAACGCGCGACTACCATATCCCATCTGCGCAATTATTATTCTTTTTAGTAAAATTGCTTGTTTTTTTTTTTTTTTACAAATATATCGGTAAAATATGAAAAAACATACTCCGTGATAATCAGGATGCGTGGCGATCCGAACAATACGTGCACCAGCCAATAAAGGAAAATCTTCGTCTTGATATTGTTGCGCAATTGTCCATGGTATTAGATCGCCGGCTGCTCTACGACCTCGCGACAGATTTTCAGTTATACTATTCTTGCTAATTTCACCTTCTAAGCAGATCTGTGTAAAAAAAAAAAAAAAAAAAAAAAAAAAAAAAAAAAAAATAAAAAAAAAAAAAAAAAAGTCACGTGACAGGAAAGAGTAGAAAAACAACACGTGAAAATAACATGACTGTAATTTATGTTATATATAACACTAAATAATACATATACAT